CATGAACAACTCTTTGCTTAGAGCTCCAATGACCTGCAAATACGCAGGGAAGGGGTCTGATGTAGGGGTGTTCACGGTCCGGTTTTAACCGTAAAAAACCGTCAATCCGGACCGCGGATCGGTTAAATGGTCAGTTAAAAAAGCCTTAAAGAATCTGATGGTTAATTTTTCTAAAAATCCGGAATAACCGGTCCGGTTAACGGATTACCTTCGGCAAACCTCCGGTTTAACCGGACCGGACCGGTAAATATTAAAAAACTATAACAAATATATATATATATACATTAAGTCATTCACTATGGCCGACAAATACAATACATTAACTATGAATGCTTTGCTCTTATTATTCCAGGTGTATAAACTGACTGAAATATGAATGCTTGCTTGGGTTCAATTTGAATAATTTAATCTTCATCATTTTTGTATTTTTATGTTTGTGGGACGAAATGTGTATTTTTATGCTTATGGGACGAATTGTATATTTTTTTATTTCATTATTGTTGTTTTTTTTTTTTAATTTTTAGGCCCAAATAATCTCTTTTGGACCCAAAATTGAAAAATAAAAATGAATAATTTATGTAATAGATAGACTATATCTTTTTTTTTTTATTTAACAAATTACAAATCAATAGATCTTATTTGAAGCTGAATTTTTTTTATATGGCCTCTATTATTTTCAATATTATAGAGAAAGAAATAATGGTTAACTTCTCTCATTTTTTTTTTTTTTTGTCCTTAAAAACTTTGCACATATGTTCTCTCTCTCTCTCCCTCTCTCTTTAAAATTCATGGATTTTCTCTCAAAATTTTGTTGCCACTTAAACAATAAAGATCCTTCTCTTTACTTCTTCATTATGTTATATGTTATGTGCCAGAACCATTATATGGTGTAATTTATTTATTTTTCTCAATATTATGTTACCTTATCATGTTAACATCATTATCATAGAAATTAAAAATTGAGGTTATAAATATTAGCAGTTGTATCATGTGAACATATACACAAACTCAATTTGCTAGTTTATCTAAATCGTGGTAGTTGTGGAACTCCAACTTCTCTACGATTTCACCGGTACTAATTCACTTATCTTAAAACTGAAAATACATTTATGCACTATTAATATGTAGGACGATCTTTTATCAAATTTTTGTTATGCTTTAACATTTTCGTTTTTTTATCCTATTAGAATTCTAAACATTTTTTTTTACTGGTATTAAGACCAATCTCAAGTTACTTTTTTATTAAAAAAATATTATTTTTTAGAAGAAAAAATCCCTTCTAATAGCTTGTGTGGTTTTATAATTTATATCGTAATTTTACTTATTAATATTATTTTCTATACATGTAATTGCAATTTCTTTATTTGTAAACCATTCTTTTATGTAAATAAGTACCATATTATTATCTGGTATCTTCATATTTTTAGGAAGTCTTTAAATATAAATTATTATTTAATACACATCATAAATAATTTACCGTGATTCAACATGTTATTTACATGTAAAAAGAAAATTACTTTGATATTTATGAGAAATCAAAACAGAAAATACATTTTAAACTGTCTATCTATAAATGACAACAAATTTAGGTCCACTATAACTATTAAACTATTTTTAAAAATGAAAAAAAAATAATTAACGCAAGGTGAACATTGAACACGTTTAAGAAAATAATAAAAAAAGATTGAAACTAACTTTCTATAAATAGTAATATGATGAGGGACCCACTAAAATATTTACTATTTTTAGCAATTGTGTTGCCTAATATAGTAAATAGATATGTACAAAAGATCCAAAACGTCATTTATTTAGACAATTGTTGATAAAGCCAAAATGACATTTATAAAAAAAGGAGGTAGTATTATTTTATTTTTATATAATATTAAAAAAAGCATTTATATATAATTTATTAAAAGTATATTATTTTTTTAAAAAAAACTTTTATTTATTTTTATAATAAAAAATAATAATGTCATTCCATTCCACTCATATTCCTTCTGCATACCAAACGCATCAATGACAAGACATGTTTCATTCCATTCCCATAATCATTTCATTCTTCAATTCATTCCATTCCTACGAAATTCCATTCCATCATACCAATCATGTCATTATAATATGGTAAATTGCTCTCACGACAAATTATTACTTAAAATGGATTAATGTCGAAATAGGTTTTACGAGGTGACTGATTGCAAATACTCTAGAAGGATAAATAATGCAAAACAAAGGGAATATTGCCTTAGATTTTTTTTTTATTTTTTTTTAGGTTATATATCATTGTATAATTTTTTAGCATTATTTATCAACTCACCCCCTCTTGTTTAAAGTCTGAAAACGTAACTATGTTAATATGATAAACTATTTTTACATTGAGCCTCAAAAAAAAATAAAGTTAATAGGACAACGACAATCCATACATATGTGTAAACATTCGAGATTTATAGTAAATTTATTTCTTGCTAAAATATTAATTACTGGTAATTATGATTTTCTTTTCCTTTTATTTGTAAGTTCTTACATTTTAATATAACATATCAAACTATTTATTTTTCATCGATAGTTTTGATTCAGTCACTCATGTTACCCAAATGAATAAAGAAAATCATATTGCAATCTATATATAATAAAATCATAGTTTTAGATGTATATATCTTGGCCGACTTCTTTAGAATACCCATTGTTTAAATATTGATGGAAGAAATTAATTATTGGGCGATGTTCACTACCATGCTTATT